AGTTCCGTCGGCGAGGGCAGGCCGGCAATCGCTTGAACCGACGAGATTTGGAGGGTTATAGCCTTCCCTGTTCATGAAGTAGCCTTCCATGTCTACCATGACCAAGCCTTCGACCTCATTGTAGGGAAAATCCCTCGTCTTTCCTTTGTGGTACTTGGTTTGCTTGCTAAGCAGATTAAACCACGTCTCGCCGTGCTTGATGCGATCCTTGGCTGGCTCCGGAAGCTCATCCAGCTTGTCTTCATCAAACTCGTGGTGCTCAAGAAAGTAGACTTTGCTGCTGGACTCCCCATCGAATTTGAGACCCTCAAGCGTGTGATACTCGCGGCCGATCTCTTTGCCATTGAACGTCATGTACCAGCCGGTAATGATCCAAGGCACGATGCTATCGGTCTCAAAGCTGCCACCGGTGACACCATGAACTACTCGCACGGTCCATTCCGTATCGCCCAAATACTTTTCGATGGTGGTCACTCCCGGTTTGTAGCCGACCCACATGTGCTCCCAAGTGTAAGTTCCCTTTTTGAGACGGGCTTGCTCGGCTCGGACATCATCCATGACGTGCTTATCCAGAAATTCAAGCAGGAGCGAGATGTGCTTCGGGGCATCCTTCTCCATAATGCACAAGTCTGCGGGATCCTTCTTGGCGGCGGCATCCTTGAAGGCAGCGAGCTCGTCGTAATGGTGGACCAAGATGGGATATGGCCAGCGAACGACGATGGGGTCACCGGAGAGAGACTGGGTTGGGTAGTACTTGACGACGGAGTGCAGGGCATTCGCGATTGCTGGGGAGTAGATGTTGAGGTGGTATTCGGGCTTGGACAGCATTGTCGTCACCAACACTGGTGGTCCACTGGAACTGCTGCCTGCATTTTCGAGGACGCGCGTACGGTATGTGGTGATGAGCTCAAAGACTGGTTCCATGCCAGTTTGGTCTGGATTCTCATCGGAATGGTTACGGTATCCATTGGTATCTTTACGGTCAAGGAGCTCGTCGGTGGTACGATGTCTCCATTCCGTTCGGTATCGAACCCACGGGCCGCGCTTCTGCGGTGAGGATGCCATGTCGATGTCGATGCCTGAATCGCTAGTGCTGTTGCTTCTTTCCATTGTTGTTGGTGTTTGCATTGGAGGTAGGGAGATGAGGGGTAATTAGTTGGAGTTGTGGTTGCCTTATGCTATTCCATCTTGAGAGGTTGTTAGCGCATTACTTATCCCCATCTGTTAAAATCATGCTTAAGATGAGGTATTTCGCTAGCAAATATATGACGGTGGGTATTGTAGGCAGCCAGTCAGCAGAGCCCTTGGCATCAGGCACCAATAATGTTCTTCCAATGTAGTATTTCGGGAATGTAGATGGTTTCCCCTCATCCATGTCAATCACACCTAATTCCCAGTATCATCACAATGTCAGATTCCCAGGAATCAAGAAAGATCGTCCGGATGTACAGCTGGGATGCCGCCAAAAGGTTACCTCCCGACAACAGACTTGGCCGAATCCTCACGGAAAGCGTTGCCGACCAGGATCCAGCAACCATTACTTCCCCATGGCGCAAGTTCTTTGAACCATCAGACTTGGTAGGAACCAACGTCGATCCAGTCACCCGCGTCCTCGCCATCGAGGCTGCCAAGCTCAAGGAGAAATGGCTTCAATTCCAAACGAACTCGTCCAAAGAGGACAAGCTCGACTTGGACGCCTTTGAGCCAACCGTGGACGGTGTTATTGATCTCGTGAAAAGCCTCAATGCGAGTGTCCAAGCAAAACGGAAGGGTGGAATTGTCGGCAAGATTATGACGCGCTTTCACAAGTTTTGTGACAAGTTGGACTCGCATTCCAACATGCTCAAGATTCTCCCGGATGGGAATGAATATGTGTCTATTTTTGCTGGCACTCTTACAACCATTATCAAGGTTGGTATTTTTGACCGTTCCCTTTTCTTCCTGGTCCATTGATTAACAAGAGTGCCAGGCCAGCGTAAACCACGAGCGCCTGGCAGAAGACCTCGCCGATGCTCTCTGCACCATCAGTGAAAATGTAGCAGATTGTCAGGCAGAATTAGAGATCTTTCAAACGACCGCAATGCTGGAAAAGATTGCCGACCTCTACGCCCACGTCTTCATCTTTCTCTCCAGCTACATGGACTGGATTATGCGGAAAAGAATGACACGGCTGTTGGACTCGTTCAACGAGAATCTGTTCCGCAAGTTCGAGCCGGATATCAAGAAAATTACTGACAGGTCTAACCTGATCAAAAGCCTTGTGGCTCAGAGCTCAAGGGCCGAGGTTCGGGCAACAAGACTGCATGTTGAGGATATCAAGCGAGATATTCGACTTGGACGAGAGGGAGACGCCAGACACTGGGCAGAAATAGAATACTATGCCGACAGAATTGAGAGAGAACTCATTGCTTCCCGCCAGGAGCGAAGAGAACTCGTAGAGGAAGGACGCCAAGTAAAAGAACTTACCGCCAGGCTGACTCAGATGTTGGAGGAACGAGCCATGACCTGGCTAGGGGATCAAAGGTTGAATGTGGGCCAGATTCGTGGACGCCGATCGCCAAGTCCGTTTTACGCAGGCCAGCAAGGGGGGGTTTCCATCATGGCCCAATCGCCCCCGTTACTGCAGTGGGTAGCCGAAGACATATCACATGGGTCGGCACACTTGGAGGATTTCTTTCATCGGGACAGGGTACGTCTACCCTTGGAGCATCTCGGCCCTTCGGCTGCGCCGTTGGAGGTTTTGCAGCGTCTGGCAGGGTGGACCGCATCTCGAACTTCTGCATCAAATATTCTCTGGATTTCTGGCCCATCAGATTTCACGGGATATGACCTGGAGAACCCTGTCACCATGCTGGCCGCTACCGTCGTCGATATGGCTGCCCAGTCCAAAGTCCCCGTGCTGTCGTATTTTTGTGAACTGCGGCCCGGTGAGCGAATACGGGACGGTCACACGCCGGAAACTCAAGGTCTCATGGCTCTGGCTTTTTGTTTGATACGTCAGATGATTGAGCTTCTGTTGCCCGTCGTTGAGACGGATATTGACCTGTCAGACGAAAGATTCGCAGAGTTGGACGGCTCGATGGAGTGCTGGGGAAAACTCTCAAGTCTTCTAACTGATCTAGTGCCTCTATTACCTGCATCGGACAAGGTATTTTGCATTATTGACGGGCTGCATTGGGTGGATGACCGAGAGACTGAAAAGTACATCAGTGATCTCGTCCGGATATTGAGGGAAAGCAAGCTCAAAGTCTTGTTAACAACTTCTGCAAGGGCCCCGACCCTCAGGGATGTAATGTCCCGGGATGAGACGCTGTGGGTGGACACTTTGGATGACTGGAAAGAGGACTTTATGGGTGTTGACCGGGAAGAATTGTATCCAGAGAGGGGAAGGGTTCTTGGTTAACTGAGTTATAGAAAACTACAGTTTTTCCCATCGGATCATATTATTGACTACCGGAATAAAGAGTGCCCTTTTCCATATTCGGAATAAAGAGTTACGACGAGATGCCGCTCCCCCGGATTAGCCAGATTACTTACCCCAGGCGGTTCGTGAAAAGATCAGCAATTGTCGTGGACGGAGAGACGCCAACCAATTTAGGCTGGGATTTTGCAATTTCCATTTGCCAAGATATTTTCATCAAGAACGAATCTATTACAATGGCATTTGAATTTCTCTTTTGCGGGGGAAGGAGGGACCATATATGTATAGAAAAAGCTCTTTTCTCTCAAGAAAACTTTGTTTCTCTTCCAACTTTTGTTACCCATCACAATAAACTTCAACTTCACCCAAGAAAAATAAACAAAAATGTTCATCAACACCATCCTTCTCCCCCTCCTAGCAGGGCTCACCCAAGCAACCCCTCTCACCACCCGACAAACCGCCGGAACCCAAGTAGTCCGTCTCACCTCAATCGAAAACCTCGCCGTCCGTCCCAACGGCCTCATCCTAGCCACAAACATGAACCAAGCAACACTGCATCAAGTCGACCCAGTCGCCAAGACCTCCTCCACGGGTCTCACAGTCTCCGGCGCAACCGGTCTCTCCGGGATCGCTGAATTCGCTCCAGACGTCTACGCAGTCATAGGCGGTAAATCAATCTACCGCGTCGACTTTTCTGTCACTCCCCCAAAATCCACTCTCATCAAACAAATCACTGAAGCCAATAACCTCAATGGTCTTTCCGCCTTCGACGAATCCAACGTCCTAGTCGCAGACGCAGGAAAAGGAAACGTTTATAAATTCAATATCAACACCGGTGCATACTCTGAAGTAGCCAAAGACCCAACCATGGCTCCCTCCGGTGGTATTCCCTTTGGCATAGACGGAATCCGTTATGTAAATGGAACACTTTGGTACACCAATATCTTCCGCAACTCATTCCACAAAATTCCTTTGGATCCCGTCACGGGCAAGAGCACTGGACCTCAAACAACTATTTGGAGTAATTTGATGGGTGATGACTTGTGTATTGGACCGAATGGAAAGATTTATGTGACTACGAACGGGAGGAACTCGCTTGTGGAGGTTGATCCGAATGCTGCGAGGCCGGCGGCTGTTACGGTTGGGACTGTGACGGGGAGTACCTCTTGTGCGTTTGGGAGGACGGAGAGGGATAGGAATGTGGCGTATGTTGGTGGTGGTCAGGGTGTTTTTGCTGTTACTATTAAGATTTAGGGGGAACTTGAAGCCCGCGGGGAAATCAAAATGACGTGTGTAAAATATGTATGGGTTGGGAAAAGAAATGCTTGTGGTTGGTGTGGAATATGAACCATCAAGGATTATTTATGTATGTGTTTGTTATGTATTTTTTTAGGCAAGTACAGTGTGATATCATTTCTCACATTATGTTTCTCTAAAATTCACTTCTTACTTCACTCATGCTACTACTCTCAAGAAGGGGGGGAAAGGGAAAAAAAAACATGGCAACGAGTCATTGTACCTGATGCTACTAATAATAAGATTATGACAACCCAAAAAGAAACCCTTCAAACTCTATTCTTGGACGAGTAGGGAATTGAACCCTAGACCTTTCGCATTTTTTTTTCTTGCAGGAATGCAAAGCGAACGCTCTGCCAACTGAGCTACACGCCCCTTTGAGGGAATAGAAGAAAGGGTTTCAAACTGGACGAGCCCGGAATCGAACCGGGGACCTTCCGCATTAACTCTTTTGCTTTGAAAGAAGCAACCATGCTAAGCGGGCGCTCTACCAACTGAGCCACACGCCCTTTTTTCTGGTAATTGTTGAGGAAGGGACAAGAAAACTTTGGTTATCAAGTGTGGGTGGAGGTGGAGATTGAGGGATTTTGAGTTTGTGTGGTTCTGTGGAGTTTGTGGCGTCGTGGATTGGAGAACTGTTCGTTCGTTCGGCAAGTCAAGGTTTGTTGTGGTGGAGATGTTGAGATAAGGATTTTTTCATGATGGTGGTTGTGATTGTTCTTTCCGTAGATTCCATTATTGTTGCCTGGCGTCGGGTCCCCGGGTAGTTGCACTTTGTTGAACCGGATGGTTTTAGGCATCACCTTCGGTTGCCGGCAGCCGATCCATGAAAACTGAATTTTCTATCAATGGCTGACTTGGGATTCGGAGCCACTTCGGACGGAAATGAGGCTTCCAGGCAGTGATGAATAGAAATTGTAAATAGGTCACATGTACACTGAGTGTACAATATTAACTGGGAATGGATTCAACGGTTAACCTTGTAGGAGCCGGCATGGACGGACGAGACGAAAAACTACTTTAAAAAGTTACAATCATAGATTGTTTGGGCCCCAAGAATAATTGCGGATGTTTATGGACCCGAAATGTTTTAGCATTGCGTTGTTATACAAAGACCCATGTTACACGACATGAATTTAGGTTATTGCTGCTGCCTTGGCACTCAGTGTAGGTGATCCCCTTGGTGTTACACACCTTAAAGGCCGATGGTGTATGAGAGAACACATGGAAATTAGAGTTGGTATACCCAATCGGTCCCCATCGCCTGGGACCTACTATGACATGGTACGTTTACTTTTTGAGGACCCCAAATTCTTTCCCGGATGATACCTGCTGAGCCTTTCAACTCGTTGGTAAGCTTTGCTTTTCAATGCCTTTCCGGGTCGTTTAAGAACATGTATACAAAATATCTCCAATACGCTTTCCTCATCGGTAATATTTCCTCTTATGGGTCCTTCATCTCGTACGAATGTTCGGCTCCGAGACCACTGACTGCATGCAAATAACACTTGAGCTTTGCCACTTCGCATCAGAACAAATAGCAGTCATCAGTTTCATGATGTGATAACAAGTTGATATTCTTCGCTTGATGCCAAAGCCACTGCATGAGTTACACCGGCCTGGAGATCGACCACAGTCGCGGCCAAATAAGGGGGACCGTGATGGGCGTGCGCCGTGACGTGGAATGTTCGGACGAAGTACCCCACAGAAGAAGAAAAAAAAGAAAAAAAAAAGAAAAGGGGGAGAAGGAAAAACCGAATCAACGGAAATTCCGCCATCTGTGGCGCATAGTACACTGTACAACAACAGACGAGCGGTTGTGTGGTGTAGGTTTTCGTGGCGCAAATCTTGCCGAGATGTTTCATATCGCCAAGGCAAGTAAAAGCGCAGCAGCCTGGATTGCCGGGAAACCATGAAATTCGGGTTGTTACCATTCCATGGATCTGTGTGACCGACGCCTAACCATAGTGATGGTTTCCGTGATTGTTGGGGGCTAATTCTTTGATCATGTATTGGAATTAAATTTGTAATGTTTTTTTTATGTAAAAGCTGTTGGACACCGCCGTGATTTCTTTAATTCATTTTATTTTATTTTTGCTTCCTCTTGTGGCATTGCGCCTTACTTTGAAACAAGCAAATGCCGGTAGTTTGAGTGTGCAGTGCAAAATGCGGTGCAACAAAAATGGGATGAAATCATCCATCCATCCATGACAAAATGGCGCCTCACCACGTGGTTTTCAGTGATGGTGGTGGTGTGGCCGAAGGCACAGCATCCCCAAAAATTGGTGCGTGCAGTGTGTTGTTGGCGCCAGGATGAATTGAAATTTCTTAGGAGTGGGTCGAAATGTTGCAATTCGTTGGTGGCAGAGCAAAAAGGAAAAGAAAAACACAAGAACAAACTGTTCGGGAAATCTTTTTGGATCGGTAAAAAGATGTGTTTTTGTGTGTAAAAAAAAGTTGAAAGGTGCAAATCCGAAGAACTCGGAGCGCTCGGCCGAAAGTGGGGCAGGTCCGCACATCGACGGCCCGGCCGCAGAGAAACGGTCCGCGGGCCCCGGATCCCCGCACCCGGGGGTCGCTCCTCAATTCTTTGTTGTATATTCTTAATCGCCCCTACTTTTTTATTCACGCCACCCCATCTTGGGCTTTCAAAACCAACACAAGGGAGCAGAATCATCAGCCATGGGGTAGACGTCATGGCCGGAGGTACCGATTGACGAAAGGTTACTTTTCAGGGGCAGTCTCTGCCGCATACGCACACTGCCGAACATGCAGATTACATGCAGTGTTTCAGTATCTTTTCTCTGTCAAAATTCCGGTTTAACGGAATTAATGAAAGGATATCGGGCCCGGCAATAAGTGGCTCCTCCCGAACGTGGCGTCCTCCTGCAGAAATCCCTTTCCCAATACACAGCCAAAAAAAGAAATGCTTCCGGATTTTCCAAGTGTTCAGCTTTCGGGGTTCGGAAGCTTGATGATGCAAAACTTGTACCACATAAAAATGTTTATTTTATTAAACACCCTGTCTAAAAGAAAAGTCTAAATCTAGCCCAGCCTTCCTCAACCTATCGGATATCTCCTAAAGTTTCAGAAATGAAAAAGAAAAAAATAATAGTAAAAAAGGACACGTGAGAGAAGTGAATGAAAGAAAGGCAAATGCCCCATAATTGATGTTGTACAATGTCCTCCAATATTTTCCCTGTCGTTGCCTTGTTTGGGTGTGAACCCATTGATATATCTAACAGTCTAAAATGGAGAAGAAGAAAAAGAAAAGGTCGTATCTCTGTGGAGAAGAGAAAAAAAGCAAATACCGGTCGTGTCTGAAAGGTGCAAGTTCTAGAAAACAGAATGATAAAAAAGAAATGGGTGCGTGCCGTCGTCCAATCATGTTATCCGAGAAGTGTTGAAAAAAAAAGAGAAATGCTGGAAAGGACATGACAGAAACCGGAAGGAAATTTGATAATACATCTGGTTTTTAAAAAATGTTAACTTGTGGTCCATGTTGTTGATATCGATATTGCATACCATTTGATCGTACATGTTTCCATACTCTCGAGAAAAAGAATGACTTTAAAAGTTGACAAACTCGTACAACCTTCGGCAGTCTTCGCAGTCCTCGTAGCTAATGACCTTGAACACCTTGTCGTGACGACTGAACTTGCACTCGCCGTAGATGTATCGAGTATAGACGGTGCAAGAGTATGCCTGTCTACGGGGCTTGCTCTCATGCTGGCAAGCATACACGGTCTTTTCCCAGTTGCACATGTTGACGGTGGTTGTGAAAAAGTAGAGACGAGCCTTTGTGTGGTTGGTAGTAGTGATGGTTGTGATGATGGTAGAAAGCTGACTGAATTGTTGTGATGATTCTGGTGATGTTTTGTTCAGGGAGGACGGAATATATATATATATATCCCCAAGATCAGGTTATACGTGAAGGAGGGAGGTTGATATCAACATGTCATCAGGGAGGAGCATGCTTGCTTGGGGTGTGTGGAAGAAGAGGGATGTGAGTCGGTTCGAGCCAATGCCACCCCCATCATTTACACATGTATGTACATATTGCACTGGCATGGGAACAAAATCAAGTGACTTTGGACAGGCAGGGGCTTCCCGCGCCGTCCGGCTACTCCCCCCAAGTGTGCCTCAAAAAGGTCGAGGACGGGAGTTGATTAGGGCCAACTTTTTTTCTGAGTTGCATTCCATGCATGCTAACTGTTTCCCTTTATGCCCGATATGGATCAGATTTAATTTCTGCGGCGCGGTTTTTGTTGGTGAGAGTCCCCATGAAATGGGATTCCCGCGGGGGGCTGAGTCTTGGTCTCCAATGAGGTGAACCCTTCCTCCCAAAAACGGTGACTAGCCAATCAGAAATGTAACGTCAACGTTGTCATCCAACCTCTACCATTCCTCAGTCTAGTGGCAAAAAATTGAGGTTAAATCATCATGGACAAGACTAAATCCTACCAACAACAATGTTAGTTATTAGTTCGTTTTGTGTTTTGTTCTTGTCCGCCGATTCAAATTCCGCTTAAACGGCCTTTGGTCGGCCGCCGATGACTCTCAGGGGCAGTGGTGGTCATTCCCCGACGATACCACGATATTCAGATTGGGAAAGTCGTACTGTGGCTCGGATACAGATACAGTCTTGGCGGCCTTGATGGCCTTATTGTCCCAGAGTTGGAATCATAAAGGATGATATTGTGTGTATATCGTAATTATGAGCGAGGCATACTGGTCCTGTGTAACTCACGCGCGTCTATTCAAGCCGTTTGAGCTTGGGAAATTAAATGAGCTAGATTCAAATTTGTGAATTGGATGAGGCTCATACCTCACACACATACATGTACATGTACCTTACATGTAGTTAAACCCCTTGAGGCTTGGTCCCCTCAGGGCCTGCATAATATGCTGTGGACTTGTCCTCCGTACCACAGTGCTGGGTCTTGATATCTCCAACGCCAAAGATCTATACCGGGAGTTTTAAGCAGTGAACTTTTACTCTGTAGAGTGACTGGTCCTTTGGTCCGTCTGCCTGAATTACTGCCTAACAGTGCCTGTTCATCATGACCAACCATGATGTTGAATAATCCAATCAGGTTTTGGAATTAGACTGTGATCAATACAGATTCATCTCGGTGATTGGTGCGTAATTCGACATATGATTCGAAATCATTGGCCTCTTGCATTCAAACTGCATGCATCGAGCCTTGCAGGTTGCATATATGCAGATCAACCGCATATTGCAACCACACCGTTCCCGACAGCGTGGATCGCCGACCACAAAAATGTGACTGAGGTGTCAAGGCCTCCGATCCGCATGTGCAGAACAATCGCAAACTTCTAGATCACGCACGCTTCTGGGGTCACCATCTCATGTGCAGCGTGCTTGGCCTCCATTTTGGGCCTTAACGAACGACCGCCAATCAATGGACCAACAGACCGGGGTTATAGGAGGCGAAGCCACACCCTTCTTTGCGTCTCAGAATTTGCACTGCCAATTTCTGGTTGC